AATTTCTCTACTCTGCACATGCTATGTGTATGATATAATATGTCTATATCATATGCAAATGATAGTGTGTGTCAGAAAAAAGGGAAAAGAGCCAACGAGTTCATCATTTAACCCAAGCTTCCATGTACCACAGCTGTGACTTGTGAGAGAACATAGGGGTGTGAGTATGTGACCCATAATTTTAATTAGCTTAATAACATGGGTCTGTTTTAATGTCTGAGAGGATAATATGTACACACACATCTAACCAGTGACAACACTGTGAACCAGAGAACTTCAAAATTTCAGGACAGCCCATACATATAAATACATATATATAAATACACATGGGTAAATTAAAATTAGGCCATCTTAACACAAACCTCACACCATTGAAGCTGAAGATCAGACAGGTGGCAGGTCTAATATAACGAGCCTGTTAGAGAGCTGTAAGTTTGTTCTCATTCTTAAATATTCATCTACCTAGTGGGTAAGATTATATGTAAAAGCTCAAATTGTAAAGCTCCTAGTCTTAGGAAAATGTACCTGACCTGAAGCAAAATACTGTCTTTGTTTCCTTCCTCAAAAATTTTTTCCTCTTGAAATCAGAATGAATAGGCTATTTTTTACTAATTGTTAAGACAATGAAAATAAATGGCAATAAGAAACATCATCCATACTACTTAACTTTTTGAAACAAAATAATTTTAAAGATGAAGCCTTACCTTAGTGACAGTTCAGTAACATATATTCAAAAATGATGTAACAATATAACAGGAATATTCATCTTTTTAAAAACCCACCTCAATGGACCTGTATTGTACTGGTATATACTTCTAAAATGGCATTAAATGAGCTCCCTAGAATGAATTCCAAAGACCTAATACTTTTTTTTTAATTGCAGGAGGCTAGGACATTTTGAACAATTGTTTCTTGAACAAACACTATGTCACTAAAGATGAGACAAGGTATCAAATTACAGAACACTTTTAAGTGAAATGGATCTAGTTAGAAACACTGTAAGAATTTAAATGGATTAGCTATAAATCTCAAAGTCAATGGAGGCTGATTGGGGACAGAAGTCTCTAAACTGGTAACTGTTATAAACTGACAGGCTTTCTTGTTCCCAATGTCTAGAGAGATGCTCTATCTAAGCAGACTTTCAACTATACATACATACATATATATATATATATATGATCTCAAGGCTGGCTCTGCGTCTTTTTCTTTTTTGGTTTTACGAGACAGGGTTTCTCTGTATTGTTTTGGAGGCTGTTGGTCCAGCCCAGCCTTGAACTCACAGAGATCCGCCTGCCTCTGCCTCCCAAGTGCTGGGATTAAAGGCGTGCACCACCACCGCCCGACTTGGCTCTGCATCTTTAAAACCCCAGTGCTCTCTGTTCTTAGCCATCTACATCTCTACCCTCCATGTGAACCGGCCCATCCCCTCTCACTCAGCCTTTGCCCCCACCCTTGCCCCGAAAGGGACCTACCTGTCAGGTCCTTTTCCTTGTTGACGCTATCCACTAGCTTCCTCGGCCCTGTGTACTTCTTTTTCCCCCTATCGGATATTAATTTAAGGCCCAGTTCTCCCGACACGGCAGGTGCAGACCGCCGTCTTTCTGGTTCTGTCCTGCTCCCTGAAAGGGTGGCCATGTTCTGCAAGTCACTCCAGGTCACCGCTGCCATCGCCACTGTCACCCGTGACACAGGACTCCAACTCTGAGGAGCAGCACTGCCAGCATGGTCTGTGCTGATTTCCTCGTGAGGTTAGGACTAAGAGAGCAGCTTGGAAAGGGAAGAGCTGGGCTTTTAAAACCTCGACCCTTCTCTTAAGGAAGGAATGTCAAGTGGGGTCTGCGCTGAGCTTTTCCTTTCAAGTCACCGGGCCAACAACTCCAAACAGTACTTTTGTAAGAAACCCTCATAGAACTGGGGCAAAATAACAGTGACCTTTTACCCTATAATTTACCGTACATTAATGAAAAACATACCTGGTAGCTTTAAATTTAAAACTATAAAAAAATACCAGAAACTGGCTAACCGCATTGTCTAGTTAATAGTAAATAACCTGCTTTTAATTAAAACAAATAAAAGATGAACAGGAAAGAATTTATGGATCCATTATTCAAAACTGAAGTTGAATACTTAGCTGTGAAGTAAAAAGCATGGGGATTGCTTGCCTGCCTTCCCTTCCTTCCTATGGAACTCTGGGCCACATGCTGCAGACTCTACCACTGAACTAGATTCCTGGCCTCTGGAATTATTTTGTTGCTGTTATTTGGTTTCTGATACAATCTCATTCTGCAGTCCAGGCTAGCCTCAAACTCATAGCAATCTTGCAGTCTCAACTTCTCCAGTGCCTGGAAATTATTTATAAGCCACTACATCAGTTTTGGATTCTTTTCTTTTTTTAAAAGCTTAGTTTATTTAAATTTTTTATTGATTAAATTTGTTCTTTGACAATTTCACCCTTGAATAAGCCTCCTTCATTTTACTCTCACAGAATCCTTTTGAGCATTCCTGACATCAAAATGCTTCTATTACATTTTGCCATTTTAACATAATGAACCCAAAATGCATGATCTCATTTCACATACCTCTGAGAAAACACTTCTGAGAACATGGCATATGAGATCATGTCTGTACTACTGCCTAACCTATACGACATAGTCTGCTTCTTAACGAAGAGGCCCACGCAAAGGATTTTGTCTTCAAGACTGATGCATCTTGAAGAGGTCAGTGTGCCTCCTATAGGTCCTAGCACTTCACATTACTGAAACATTAGTCAACGAGAACAAAATATATCTGTAAATTAGCTACTGATAGGTAAACACTGGCAAACCTACTGCGCATTTCCCTTGAGTCCTGACTCTCACAGCGAATGAGGTTCCTAAAGCATGACAAACAGGACCCAGTAACCTGGTCCCTGTCCTTCATGAGAGGAGGCAGGGATCAGCATCTCAGTAACTATTTTAGAACCCCAAGCTAAAAACAACCCCACATGATTTCTAGCTGTATGTTTTGAGAAAAGAATAGCATTAAAGGATTCTAGAAAGATCCCCGATAGCATATAAAGAGCAAGACATAAGTCAAGAATCTCGCAGTCATATAAAGTACTCTTTGTACATTCCATTTTATTTTATTTTCTTCTTCCACTTTTATATACTGTAGAAACAACAATGGTCATAGAGATCTGATGGGGAAGTCCTTCTGTGTATATGTTTGTCTTATTGGTTGATAAATAAAGCACTGTTGGGCCAATAGAGAAGCAAGAATCGAGGAGGATTCTGGGAAATGTAGTCAAGAGTAGAGAGTCGCCATGTGATCCTGGGAAGAGAGGATGCATGAGGCTGGTGTCCTCAGTAAGATACGACCTTATAGAAACATTTTATATATATAATATATATATATAGCCATAACCCACTAATATATATATTAGTGTTATGGGTTAATATTTAAGACAGAACTAGTCAATGAGAAGCCCTGGACATTGGCTGACAGCATTGTAATTTATAGAGTCTCTGTGTGATATTTGGGTTGATGCGGCTCTGGGATCAAGTTGGCGGGAAGAATGCTTGCTACAGAGATCCTGTAAGATCTAGACTCAACTTCTGACTCAGTAGTTACTGTGTGGCCTTGGGTAACTTATGTTCTCTCATCTTCCATTTTCCTCATTTACGAGTTAGGGGCAAAACCTGCACAGTTTTGTGAGGGTTTGATGATCCTGTCCAGCACCTAGCAACCTTTCTGGTATCAAAAGGTAACCAAAATAAGTGAACCAACTGAGAAAGTGTTTCCGGACTGTCGTTTTCCCTACACATATGTAATGCCACTGCAAGCAGACAGGGTGCCTCTCCCCATATCACCACTCCACTTTGCAATTCACCAACAGAGGTGTGAATCTAGATAAACTGTTGTCTTTTTTAGCTATTTGCTTTTAAAGCACCAAAGCTCTGGGGTCTTCTGACTTTTAATGTGCTCTTAGTGTTTTATTGCAAATTATTTTATGGTTGCTCTTGCTAAGGCAGGGCATCTCTGGGCATCCAGGAAGGTTTGGGCAAAGGGGAGGGATCGAGAAGTAGGGAGAGACAATACTTCCCAAGCTGGGTCCCAAGAACAAAAGTGGACATTTAACATCTATTATCTTAAGCCTTGAAACAATTTTGTGAATATTCCCACTTATTCACAGATAAACTGGATTTATACCTAGAGACTTACTCCAGCTGTTAAATAGAACAATGGGACAAAGTCGCCCACAGACCAATAAATCCTGGTCTTTCTTACTGAATATCTTTACTTTGAGGTCTACAGATGTTCAGTTTTGGTTTGCAATAGCAACTTGACAAGATGGAAAGAGCTGGAAATCCATTTGACTGATGTGTCCTCTTTCCCAACAGAATATTTCAAGTTCGAGTTCAGGAGTCATGACTTGTTTGAATCCAAGTTCATGCGGCTCTGCCCTGGAAGGATGCTACGTCCCCAGGAGGAGGGGGGAGGAGATGTAAAAGGAGACGGGAGAAGTATCAGCAACTAAGAGAATTTCCTGCCTTCCCATGAGTTCAGTCTCCCACACTCACATCAGCACTGGCTCCAGCACCAGGGGATCTGATGCGGTTTTCTGGCCTCCATAGGCACACACCCACACCTACGTGTGTATTTAGACGGGGCTACTGATTGTGGGGCACACTTTTAATCCAAGAACTTACAACGCAGAGGCAGGGGAATCTCTCTAAGATCCAGGCCAGCCTGGTCTACATAGTGAGTTTCAAGCTAGCCAGAGCTATATAGTGAGACTCTAGATAGATAGATAGATAGATAGATAGATAGATAGATAGATAGATAGGTAGATAGGCGGATGGATGGATGATGGATAGATTATTGACAGATAGGTAGATGGAAGGAAGGAAGGGAGGAAGGAAGGAAGGAAGGAAGGAAGGAAGGAAGGAAGGAAGGAAGGAAGGAAGGAAGAGACCAAGCCAGCCAGCCAACCAGAATAGATGTTGCCCAATATGGCAGGATTAGAGGTTGGGGGTAGGGTTGTGATATGAGCTACACCACCACCCACCCACAATTATGTAGGAGCAAAGTAACTTCATTCCAAGAACTTTCTAATTCATTTTTTAAAAAATAATACATCTTAACCTAGAAAGAAATGATTCTATACTCAAAATATATATTCAAAATGGATTTTAGCAGTTGGGTAGCTACCCATATTAAATTCTTTCTCTTCTCCACTGAATTATAGAGCTATCTCTCCAAGACAGGGTTGACTACACCATCCAGGTTAGCCTCAAACTTGCTACTTGGCTCAGGCCTTGAACTTGAGATTCTCCTGGCTTAGCCTCTCGTCTTGGATTACAGGCTATACCGGCAGGCCCAGCTCTGCTTGCTTTTACATTACTGAATTTTCTGCAATGACTGGATCCTAAGCACCTCCTTGGCTTCACTGCTGCGGCCTCCCTGACAGCCTTCACCTCCACCCTATGAATGGAATCTCCTGAGTGACCGGCTTAAGGCTGTAAGTTTTAAATCCTTCCCAAGTTTCTTCTAAAACAGTCCCTTTTTAGTTTTAGGCCTACAGGCTTTAAATTTTGATTTTTCAATTGCGACTTGACAAGGCTAAGAGAGCTAGAAATCAATCTGACTGCTGTGTCCTATTTGTACTTTGCAAAGACAATTTAAAATTCAAGTTAGTAAAGCACAGGTTACCGTATGAGTCATTCTTAAGTCAGCATGATCTGCTTTCATGTTCTTCAGTCTCTAATTTTTCACTTGCTAGTCCAGTATAATACACTGAGATGTAAAAGTGATTTCTAGTCAGTTTTCTAGAGGTTTCCTAGGTCACACTGTAAGATAAGTATCTTATCTTTCTAACATATGCAGGTCTAAACATATACACACACATTCATAATTTTGAGAATCTACTATACAATGCTTGAGTGTGTGTATCTTAAAAAAAAAACTATGCATCATGTTAATGATTGCTTTACTTGTAAATACTGTGAGCCACTGCCAAAGAACATTTCTTCATTTTTCATCTATTACATGCAGTTAGTATTTAGTAATAAATGTTTGCTAAATAAGATTTTAGATAAACCTGGAGAATGCCCTAACACTGAGGACGCTCCTGAAGAATAATCACTTGTGTAATTCTAAAATACAAAGCCGTAAGTAATTTCAGTGAGTATTATTAGGATCAACTTCAAAGTATCTACAGGGACAGTGACAATTGGTTTCTAAATTTGTTGCAGAATTAACAATGATTCGGCAGTTTTGCATACTTAAAAAAATCATGGACTGAAAATAAAAATATCAAAAAGCTCCTGAAAGAAATTCAAAATACCTGAGAACAAGAGAAGTGGTTTGTGAGTACTTTCTTTGAAGATTAAAATATAAAAGTTGTCAATGTTTATTCCTACTTTTAAAATCTTGTTATCATAGTAATGGCCCCAGGAACAGGCATCATCAAAATGACAGTTTTCTTAGAACAACACAGTGCTGAGCTTACCTATGAAAACAAAGGCTGTAAGTTAACAACTATGCAATTAATTTACCTTGCTGGGACTGGTAGTTTGGGGCAAAGCCCAGCAGATTTTGAAGACTGAGTGTATTCGGAAGGCTTTATGTTGTAGGTACACAGTGCTGAGCCTGTTGAAAGAAAGTGACATGTTAGCTAGTGGAATTGTCTGAATAAAGTCTTAGTTGTTTTCCCTTGGCTTTAAATGTTAATGCTAACATACACCACTTCAGCCATTATAAACACTGCAAAAACCACTTCATTTAAGATAGTTTTCTCTGAAATGACCGATAATTTAATGTATTTTAGGCACAAATTTTAATTACTAGCACCTTTACTGACTGTCATGTCATGTTCTCTGACAGATGACAAAGACACACACATCACTTGCTGCATGCCTATAAAATGGGCACGAGAACACTCACGAACCAGGAGATACAGAAGCTAGAATAAGAGGTCACTGCTAAAGGGGCTGGTCTGAATTAGGCCCCCAACTCTGACCACAAGGCATGCACTCCACTGTATGACTGCCTCCTATTCACATACTTCCCCTTACTTAAGACGGAAAACACTGCACATGGAACTGCACACAGGTGGGAATATCACTCTTTTCTTATTTAAAAGGCATGAACCGTTCCCAACTATACACCACTGAACAAACTGATCAACTGGTAAGTGATCTCCAGGTTCCAGGCAGTTTATAGTAGCTCAGAGTCAAATCTGATCGGCGACAGAAAGAGCTTTCTGATTATGTGACTAATACTTATCTAAATAACCGTGAAAGTTCAGAATGAACCCAATGAATTTTGTGTGTGCTATCTTAGTGAGCTGCAACTGTTTTTGATACATAAGTGACTTCAATACAGGAAGGCTCATTGTACACCGACAACAGATGCTAGTGTGTGTGTGTGTGTGTGTGTCTGTGAGGAGCAGGCTGCTGCTTTGCTTTTGCAGAGCACCTACTGCATTATACATAAACTATGTGATTAACTGAAATCCCTACCAGATTTCTACGTTAGCAAAATATCATTAATATGAACAGAAAAGCTTTCATTGGTATAATGAATGACAATGAGATCTTAAATTGTACTACTATGGGAAAAGAAGTTCAAAATATACTGTGAGGCCAGAGAGGCCAACTAAACACCGGGTTAATTTTGGAAAAGGCACTTGATCATATCTCAAGGAAATGGAGAGGATTATTGAAAAACACATCCTGGTTTGCTTGGAACAAAATTGAGAGTGAGTTTATTTAACTTTTATCTTGTTTGATCAATCAAACAAATTGCTGGAAATTTCCAGAAAGCAACAAATCAGAAGCAGTGCTGTCTGAAACCAGCAAACTATGTGGTAAATGTTTAAACATGATGGTCGCAATACCATGCTCACCAAAATATAAATAGTATAAAAGGTAAGCAATTGGGCAGTGCAAAACTACTTTTAAAGATACTTTAATGCTATGCATCTCTCTTCTCCCAAGGGTTTCCTACTTTTGGTTTTTAACTATTCTTTTTCTTTCTGATGAAATTTTCTTTAGAAGTTAAGCTCATTGACTGAAGATATGCTGGGTGGTAAAGTGTTCACCTTGCATGATTCTAGGTTTGATCCTGAATATTTGGGGTGGGGAGGAAAGTAAAAAACGAACATTAAGTATATAACTTCCCTGAAAGTATTGTCTGTCATGTCTCAAGTTAATGCCACCACGTTCTATTCATAGTAACTTTGGAGGAAACACAACAGCAACCAAATGCTTCAGACCCACCCTATAAGAACTAGAAGTTCCTCTACTGAGAAATTTTCATTAAAAAAAAAAAACAACTGTGCCAACAAGTGCCGGGCACCCAACATGACGGTGGACTTCTTGAGCTTACCCGCCAGCACTCCTTTCAGAGGTCAAGATGGAGTCAGCATGCAAAACCATCAAGGCACTCAGTAAAGTACTGTGTGCCTTGTCCCTGTTGCTAAACACACCACACCCTTGCATCTAAATTCAGTGTCTCCACCCATTCGGTGCCTTCCTCTTTAGAGGGGGAGGTCGCCAGGCCCTACAAGGCTCAATTTGATAAATACTTTCTCAGAATAATGTTCAGCGGAAGGCTAACAGCTTTATTTCCAATTGTCTACTGGGACTTAGGCCAACACTAAGTGGATCCTGTATGAACACACTAAAGGAAAAGAGACCTTCATAACAGAGAAGTGGAAACAATCAGTCCTAGGAAACTTTCCTCGGCCCCCTGCTCAAAGCTGGTAGACGGAGAAGGCTTGGTAAAACCTTGCGATGCAAACATTTTACAGTTGTTTTCCTGCTCACGTTATTCATGAATACACTTGCAGTGGACATTTTAAAAGTGGTACCTGACTTTATTTTCCTTACAGCAGAATTATAAACAATGCCCACCACAAGAGCTTTACACCTAAGGAGTCAAGCGTACAGGGCTTTATAAATGCAAGAACAGGTTTTTAAAAAAAACCCACACTTGAATAATGAAAAGTCAAAAACTAAAAACAAAAGCTAATCTAAAGCACACAGAGGCAATCCATTTAACTCAGCCAAGTGTTATTCAAAAGCAGCTTTCCAAATGAGCGATTTTAGGAGCCCAACTTGGTAATACAAACATTTATCATGGTAAATGCTTACTATCACCCGCCCGCAAGAATGTTTAACTACTATGATATCTCAAATGTCTTAAAATATTCAATTATTTATTCTTTGGTTCGCTTTTGGTTCTATCAACCCTATGAGGTCTGTTCTATGACTATACTCCAGAAGTTATAGATGAGAGAGAGGGAGAGGAAGATAGAGAATCGGTGAGCTGCTTATTAATACAATCCTCTTTTCTTAAGGCATTCTGTTTCTGTTATTTATGGCAATCATAACCAAACAAATATCCTCTAAGGTTCCATGCCAAAATATACCTCCACCCATCATCATCCATCATCCATCCATCCATCCATCATCCATTCAACCATCCATCCATCATCCATCTATCCAACCATCCATCTTCCACAGATATCTAAAAACCATTTGTTTGAAGAAAATTTATTTCCAATACCCATTCTTCTGTGTACTTTAATCCCGGTTAAATTCCACCAACCATGAAGACTCCAGAGTGAAATACATCTTTATCTGATTGTTTTCCTTTCAGAGAACTGCAGTTGGTGAAGACATGAAACACTGTCAGTAGGACCTTCCCATGGTATCTCCTATTTTCATGATCTTCTTGGGTAACTTTCAATTTCTTCTAAAAGGCTTTTCTCCATCTGCCACATGACCCCCAGGGGGGTCTTTGGAAAATGCAAGTTCCATGTTTTATACTCTCATCCTCAGGATAAACCCCACACTCCATGGACTCAAGGTCTTTCTAAATAAAGCAGGAATGTGCCTCTAAGTGCAGCCTCCTTTGAACCCTTGCTATTCAACAACTCCGGGTCTATTGTGTGCATACTCTTCTCCTGCCTGGGCTGTCCTTTGCAGACTAGTATCTGATTAAGGTTCTGCTTAAATTTGAGCAGAACTACTCAAACTACTCAAACACCAACTCCTGTCAACTCTTCTCTGACCCACCCAGGAAAGAGATATGTCACTTAGCTCCATTATAGAACACAGCATCTTATTTTTGTAATCTTTCAACCTATCATCTCCACTTTCAATATATGAGCTCTTTGAGAATTCTGACCTGTTTCCTAGTGGATAGATAAAACTGGAAACCATGTTCTAGTGCATCATATTACAATGTTCATATGCTTTTCACTACACACTGTAAAACTAGTTCTCAGGCTGTGTGGTGGTGGTGCATGCCTTTAATCCCAGCACTTGGGAGGCAGAGACAGGAGGATTTCTGTGAGTTGGTGGCCAATCTGGTATACAGAGTGAGTTCCAGGACAGCCAGCGCTGTTACACTGAGAAACCCTGAGAAACCAAAAATAAGTACATAAATAAATACCAGTTTCTCAGCCATGGCATCACAGCATGCTGTGGCAGACACCACTGGTTATGGAGGATGGTCCTACACAATGCGGGGGTTACCAGCACCCTCAGCCTCCCCCTACTAGATTCCAGCAGTTTCCTTCTAAGCCCTTACTCAAGCAACAACCAAAATGTGTCCAAATGCTACCAAACCTTGCCAGTCAGCACCATTATGGTGTGAACAATGGACCCAAACCCCAAATTACTTGAATTAAAGATAAAGGTAATACTTTTGAGCTGGTATTTTTTTAACCTTAAATTGTATTTAGCATCAAAGCAATCTTTATAAGCATTAAAATACAAAAAGTAGACCCCTCATAATGATTTAAAAATTTGTACTGAATAGAAAAAATTTATATGTGGATCTGTTTTCATTATAGAAATCAAATTCTATTGCCCCGTGAAGTTTCATGAATTTAACTTTCATTTTTCTAATTAGAAAAATATTGTGCATTTATACTCTGGCAAAATAGAAATTGCTTTTCAGATTTCAATCTCTAGTAATCCATGAAATGTGGGACATATTTACAGTTCTCAAGCAGCACCATCCACAGAAATGAGCCATTGGTACCACCCTGTCAACCATGTAAATACTTGCTAAGTGAATTTGTAACATCTATACGAGACTTCTAAGAGCTGCGAGGACAAGTCTGGCCCTGCTGGACTACAAGCTGGACTATAATGTGTATCTCTGGTACATACCTAATGGATATTCATTATTTGATTTAAGGAATTAGTTTAAATTTTATTATCAACTGTAAACATTTTTTCCCTTTCTAAATGATCAAGCATCCCACTCTCTGAGCAAGTAAGTCATTTGCTAGAGAAGATCACTGTGTTCATTCATATACATTATCAAGTCCAACCTTCTGCATCAGTCTGTGAAAAACAATCTATACTAACTGTGTGCTTTAAATTATGTTGTTACTGGCTGAAGGGAAAACACAACGATCTGATGCTAACTATAAACTTAACAGCCAATGACAATCAAAAGGCTTATTAGTATTCACGAGCAGTAAATTTTATCCAAATGTCATACAATTTGTTAAATCTTTTAATGGCAAAACAATAACCATTCTGAAAGCCACTCAACACTGCTGTAGTCAAAGACGTGTCTATGATCCAAACAGCAGGTCATAACATCCTCAGAATTATATGAAATACTGTACATCAGAGAAGCACTTTTAAATTGTAGTGCTCTTCATATAATATAAATGAGATGCAAACAAGGAAAAAGATCTCTGCCATAGTTTGCTATCATAACATCCTCAGAATTATATGAAATATTGTACATCAGGGAAGCACTTTTAGTAGATTTTAGTCCTTACTATAAGTGAGATGCAAATGGGGGGAGGGAAACCTCTGCCATAGCTTGCTATTATGTTAGGCAAAACAAGAATATGTATTATAAAGAGTAATAAGAATGATAATAAACATCCCACGTGAAATATTCCTAACAACTGAGGATGCGTGGTCCACCTGTCAGAGATGTTCATCTTGAAGCCACTTGCTAAAATTGAGCTAGAAAACTATGTAAAGCCTCTGGTACAGCACAGAGCATATAGCAGGGATAAATAATTGGTACGTTGAAGCAAACTGCATGGCTTCAATCACTCACTAAGACCCAGATGCTCGAACTGAGCAATGGGGCTAGAGGTGGCGGGCCAGAATTGGGGGAGGGGAGAGGAAGGAGAATTGCAGGGGCAAGCACTGAGGACTGACTTCCTTGTCCCCTGTCATAGTCTGCCTGTGCTCAGCTGGAAGTCTCTTAGGGAACCACAGCTGGCATCAGAAGGAGTGTAATTAATAATGATGTGTATGCTGTTTGTGCTTTCAAAAATCATAGCAAGGACGAGAAGAAGCCTGTCCATCAGAAACTAGAAGGGAAATGGGGGTAAGATGGGATTCACACGCTAGACATAAGGCCTAGATGGGAACTCCCACCAGGCAGTTTCAGTTTTCTCTGGAGAGCACAAGGTTGGGAAAGAGAAGGAACCCAGGGGGCTCAAGAGAAGAAAAGGGACGGGCAATCACTTGGAGAGGGTGTAGAAGAGAGATAAAATGAATGGAATGAATTATTTAGATGAATTTTTCTTTAAAAGCTGATTTCACAGCAATTCTGGTTAGACAGGAACTAAGCAATTTACCTGCTGTTGGCAATACACACGGATTCAGAATTGAGGATAAAGAAAGGGAGAGGATGAGAAATTATTAAGTGGCAATAGAGATGGGTAGGGAAACCGGGTCGTGTTCTTTGAGAAAACATTATGGGTATCTACTGTGTGAGCACAAGCAATGGGGCCTGGGTATTCAGAGATAAACACAGCATGATCCTGCTCCCAGGAGATTCACACAGAACCACAGGGACATGAGACAAACTGATAGACGTTTAATTCATAATTCTTACTGTTTCTGGTAACTGCAATTTTTATTTAAAAGGCCATTTTAAAATTGTTTTCTTTGCTAGCATCATGTATTTGTGATATGTTTGAAACCATAAGAAATTGACATTTATATATTTATCACCCAATTCACATATTAGAGTATACTTTACAGTTACCTAGCTGCCCCTGTATGCTTTGAAAGCTCATGATCAAACGGCAGCACCTCCACAGAACCTTTCTAGTTCCAGATATGTCTTCTAATCTCTCCACTCTAGTCGGGCGCATTTAACCAAAGCTTCCCACAAACATCCAGGAACCAACCCCTCTTTCTTATCTAAAAGAAACAAAGACTTGAGAGAACACCATTTCCCTAATAAATGTGTTTATTAGAAACACTGCTACAGGACCAAAGAGCTTCCTCTTTAAAAAATTTAATATCTAAAGATAATAAAGTTCTTGTGAATGAGTGCTTTTTAGTACTGAGTACTTTCAAATGTTGTCATGAAAACTTAGGTCTTTGAACAGGATTTATATTATGCTTTCCTTCAGGTCAGAACCATATTGTTGTACCCAGTGCATTTTAAAATGAGGCTTAGACTTAGTATCCTAAGAGTACCTCACATATGGTCTTTTTCTTTCAAGAACATTTTTCTAATTACGATAAAATACACACAGCATGAAAGTTAGCAATGCCAAAACTCTCTGTGGGTACACAGTCAGTGACATCAACATAGTCACAGTGTTTTCGACCAGCACCATGATCCATGCCTAGAACTCTCTTCTTGAAAAGCTGTAACTCTTCAGGTGTTAAATAGTAACTGCCTAATTTATCCCCATTACAGGCCCTGCCATCTGCCATTCTCTTTCCTGTCTTGACCAACTTGACTACCACAGGAACTTCAAATATGTGGATTTTCCAACAGTGTTTGTCCTGTGGAGGGCTTATTTCTCTTAGCATACCATCTTTACTCCAACCATGTACAACTGGATTTACTTCTTCCTTCAAGCTAAATAATTTCATCATATGTATATTAACACATTTCCTTTCTTCATTTGTCTCTTGAGATATGAGCGCCATGTTCAGTTTGAAAATTTTCTTAATTTATTAACCTATCTCCACGGACAATTCCATTGTCTCTGCCTCTTGACCATCAAGAATGTCGCAATAAACACGGGTGTGTGACTATTTCTTCAGACTTTGTTTTTCAATACTTCCAAGTAAATACCGAGAAGGGACACTGCTGATTTGGGGACACAGCGGCCAAACTACTTTGTGAACCCACCACTAGTGACAACGGTTCCGAGTTTTCTAGAACTCCATCATACGGTGATTTTCTTTTTAATGGTGCATCTTAAGGGCGCAAGCACTCACATCCAGTATGTCTGGGAGGACAGTTGAAAGGCAGTCCAACACGAGACTACAACTCTGAGTGCCTGACAGGACACACAGGGTTTCTGAGACCAGAAACGGCTGTGATATGGTCTGGATAGTAATCACTAACCAGGTATAAGGCTTACAAATATTTTCTCCTGTTTTACGAGCTGACTCAACTCTGCTGATTTTGTCCTTTCTTGCATAAAAGTTTATTCTTTTCTTATTTTTCCTGAGACAAGGTTTTCCCATGCAGCCAGTGCTACACCTGGGCTTGTGAAATATCCTCCTTCCTCAGCATCCTAAGTGACAAGGTGACAGGCACCAGGCCTGCTTGTAAGCATCTTTCACTTCCGATATAATCCAATTCTACTTCCTTCCTTTGTTTCTTAGGCTTCTGGCGTTATTCAGAGCCCTTCAAGAAAGCGCTGCCAACCTGAATGCCCTGAGGCCTCTGCCTATGCTTTGTTCTGATAGTGTTACCAGCTAAGCCTTTTCATGGACTTATAATAGTTCTCTCCTTGAGATTTGAAGACGCCTCACATACACCTGGCACCAGCTCTTGCAGAAAGCTCCCCTCTGAAAGAAATAACTGAGGCCTACAAATGTGAGCTCGAAGGGCCTTTATTTCCTAACAGAGACTCAACTGTGTACAGAGGCACAAACATCAACAGCAACAAAAGTTAACAAGGTTGGGAACTGCTTCTCTAGGGAACTGGTGGAGAGACTGGACACGGGAAGTGCAGAGAACAATGGTAAGCGCGGCGGCTAACACCAACTTTTTCTGCCAGCTACACTTCTAACTGTTTTTCGTGTACTGATTCGTCATAAAGACCCGAATGAGGCATGCTATGCCCTATAAGACAGCTGAGGCATAGACAGGTCAAACAACTTGCTCAGAGTCTCAAAGCTACTACGTTAAGGAAGCAACCATTGGATCCAAACGATTTACCTCAGAGCCTGTACTGTTAGCCAGTGAATGACACCACCGATTCCATACATGTGTCTGAGGAACCATACCCCACCCACCTAAGATGGAGTATGATAAGTTACAAGGCTGATGACTGCCACATAGGGCTTAGCAAGGCAAACACGGGGCAGTACTCAGGCACAGAAAATGAGCTCTTGAGAAGTACCTGGGTCTCTTTCATTCAGGGCCCATCACACACTTGGTATTCTTCACATATCCTCCCATTTGTTTGTACGAGGACATCTGGGCTCAAAAAGCTCCTCTATTTTGTTTGTTTTGTTTTTTTTCGAGACAGGGTTTCTCTGTATTGTCTTGGAGGCTGTCCTGGAACTCACTCTTATAGACCAGGCTGGCCTCGAACTCACAGAGATCCGCCTGCTTTTGCCTCCCGGGTGCTGGGATTAAAGGCGTGCACCACCATCGCCCAGCTCCTCTATCTCTTACTACAAAGCCAGTGACCAAGTCCGCATGAGAACCAGATCCCTGGCAGTCCATGTCTTTCCTACAAGAAGGTGTGAGGTCAGGGACGTCATCCCTTCCTCCCCTTGGAGGGCCAGCAGCCCATATGGAACAATCGGAAGGCATGCAGGAACAGGCATGGTTATGACTCCAGGCATTTTTATTCTAGCAAGCTACATGTTACTTGTGGTTACTTGGAATCAACAGATGTTCAAAGGACCTAGCACTGGCCGTGGATTCAGACAGGCAGGAAGACCTGAGCAGCCCTACACACATTACACAGACATGGAACCTCAGGGAAGATGAAAAACATGAACCGGAGGGGCCATTAGTACGCAGTTCTCCACAAAGAGCACTTTAAAAATACGCTCAGGAGAACCGCGGCGCCGGAAGTAGGGGTTCCCAAAGAGCAGAGACGACTGCAGTAAACTGGCCCTGCTGCCATTCTCTGCTAACCCCGAACTTTTAACCGCAAAGCTCCTCAAAGCTATTCTAGGAAAAGGCCATGATGCAACATTAAACTTAAGAGCAGAACATAAAACTATATGTACACTAGCACTCTAGAAAGGAACCGACAGCAGAGATTTGATTATAGTTCTCTGCATTCGTTCCTGTAACCTTCGCCATGTGCTGCTACACTGTTAACCACAGATTAAACACAGACTGAGGGAGAAGGAGGGAGGGGAGTCAGACTGAGAGATTTAAACAGGACTTGGAGAGAGAGGAAAACCTGAACCTTGCGTAGAGTATACTCATAATTCAAATGGTTGTCACCTCATGGTAGCAGCATTCGCCTGTGGTTCCAGCACGTGCTTGTAGGAGCCAAGGCAAGGGGATGATCAGTTCATGCAACCAGCTCGGGAAAGATCCGATTTCAAAACAGCAAAACAAAAATATCCAACAGGTTTGGGCACCCAAAATATTCAAAAGCACCAAAGCATTTATTTAAAAACTACAAACTTCCACATCAAAAGAACCTACCCAGAATTTCCCTGGAAAACACCCCCAAATTCTACTGTTTTCTTTTTTAGTGAAGGTGTGAGATGATCCATTTCTGTTTTGGTTTGAGAAAGGAGATCTTGCTGTACCATGTAAGCTGGTCTTGCACTTAGGATACGTAGCATTTCTCCCTCGACGTGCTGAGTGGCTGGGATCACAGTCACACAGCACTGCCCCCAGCAAATCTAGAGCTGTAACAATCTCCCCGAGTTGATTCTAGTATTTTTAACTAGGAAATCTAAAATCACTTCTGGGTTTTTCCTCTTTAAGATTTTTTAATGGCATTTATTTACTATGAGGACAAATGTATACTGAAATGCAAGCATATAGGGTTGAACAGTGAGACAGATGACCAGAGTGTCAACTTGGACAGCCTAACATCTCACCGTTGATCTCTGCAAACTTCTGGACATCACTCAAGGTTTTCAACTCTTCTCTTGGACATGCTGCTACACACAGTGCTATAGACTTGATCTTCCTGTTTATCAAGTCCAGATTGCATGGATCCAAAAAGAACACATACCTAAAACATGGAGAAAAGAACGGAGATATTATTTTGCAAAGCACATTTGGTTCATTGCATACTCAGCTAAGCCCCAAAGCAAAGGACAGACTCCACTGAGCGTCACAATCCCCATTCCTCCAAAACAGAACCATCAGTGAGAGCTTTAAAAACAATGACTTATAATGCTAACACAGAGAATGGAGTAATTGAAGGACTTAATAGTTTTCATGATTTCTTTTCCTAATATTTACATTTTATAATACACAGATTTTATTGCCAGAAATCATGTTTCTTGCTTTGTTAAACTTACACCAAACACAATTAGAATATCTCAATGTTGTGATTAACATATATTGCAGTTGCCATGGAAACTACAAACTTTGGTTAATGAATATTATTATGAAAATGGAAATATGTATATTAATGAAAATAAACCGACATGAATAGAAGGTTGAATGAAAACTGGAAAATTATACAGCAACATTACAGCCACCTATATATGGGGAGTTTTTAATTTTACTTTTTAGGGTTCTTACTTTCCAAAAACAATACAGATTACATTTTAATTGGAATACCACAGTAAGTACTTATTATTTTTTAAAAATTCATAGCAATTACATAAAAATAATACACATATCCTACATATGCCCTCTGTATTTCTGCCTCATTACCTCTTTTAAAGGGGTGGCTTAGTTGGAAATCACATACTTCAACAGACATTATCGTCTCTCCCCGAGAAAGCGACGCCCAAACAGCCTCCAACAATCGTGTGGTGTTGCAGACCCAGGATGAAGCTTAACAAGGAATGTCTTATTGAGTGTGAAGTAAAGACCACCAACCTGGTACAGTGTTTTCCTGAGTCCATGGCAGATTTTACAAAGTCAATGCCTTTCCCACAAACCATTCAAATCTACACTACAAATACAACTAAACATAAGAATTAGGTAATTACTTTTCTCAGCCTTTGGCTATAACCAAGTGAAGAAGTAGGATTGGGCACAAAATTTAAAAAGCAAAAAGAACAAAACCAAGGCACACATGACATGGGTACTATCAAACAATACCATAAAAAATGTGCAGAAGGCACCAGGGAAGCCTCCACAGCTCGGTGCAGCCAGGAGACCATCCCGGAACCCAGCAGGGAGGTGAAGGGTAAGCTACAGTACAAATCAGCAATGCTCTGAGAGACTCGAAAACCACTAATGTTCCAAAAAGACAAAAGGAACGCAAGGGAGCCAGATGTGATTGGAAGTAGGCTTTACGGACAGCTTCCAGGGTCGAGAACAAGGAGGTAGCCAGTACAGGCAGGCACCGAGGGAACAGTTTCCAGGAAACCCTGGTAGAAACAAGCAGGTCTCTCATGGCTTCTCCCACCATCTGGCCCATGCATCTGACCCAGTGTGTCTGTCCCTAGGACCCCAGATGAATGAACTACACAAAGCCAGATTCTGGGCAGGGAACCCTCGGGTCCTGGAAGAGGGTACAGCAACTAGCCCTGCCACCACCAATAACAAGTACTGTCTGTGACAGCGGTAATGAATGGGGTCAAGGCATAGCGAACACTCGCATGCCAGACGCTAGAAAACCCTGTGTGCGTATACATTAGTCGCACACAATAGTGTGGTGTGCTTCTGTGAAGGGGGGGGGAGTAACTGAGTACGTAGTTCTTCATGATAAAGATGCCTTGAAAAGTATCCAGAGAAATCACATGGCAGCTGAAAACGACCAGGAAAGAAAGCCAGAGGCTACCAGGCCTCACAGCCGGGACTGGGCTAGGTCAGGCACAACCTCCGAAGAATAGAAATTATGCCTGGTTGTGCTGCATCTGCCCCTTCCAATGCTAAAACTGCCCCGGCGATATTTAGTTTATACCC